TAATATATATAAAGAAAAATGCAGAATATGAAGAACAGCAGAAGAATCAGAATTTGAAATTATAGTTGTCTCAACTACAACAATGTACAAATCAAAACCAAACATGGACAAGGAAAAGACTGTTGGAATTTTGGAACCAGAAATATTTCTTCTCTCTTATGAAATACACATATTTACTAAAGTAGAAAGGCAGTCAGTCAACAAGGAATCAGCACAGTAAGGAGAGAGGTATCCTCTGATCTTAGTCCACGAACTGCTGTTTCATCCTAGCCAACCCTGATCCCCCCTGGCCTCACCTGTCTCACCTGTTAGATGACACCACTGGCTTATGATGGCATATGATCTTTTGCTTCCTTTTTAAAATTTGCTATAGTTTCCTGGCTTTTTATCAGTAATGAAAAGAGAAGACAAGCCAGGTGTGGTGGTGCATGCCTTTAGTCCCAGCACCTGGGAGGCAGAGGCAGGTGGATCTCTGTGAGTTTAAGACCAGCCTAGATTATAGGGTGACACTGTCTCAAAAACAAAAAAAAAAAAAGGGGGGGGGAGGAGACAAGTGAGTGCTTATTTTGTTAATTAAACAGTCATTACACTTCAACCTTTATCGCTTCTCATAACACATCTGTTAAAGCACAAACCAGAAGGAACTACACTAGGTTGTATATAAAACATCTCCTTTTTCCCTAATTAAGTTGATACACTACAGGGGGTCTCCTGTCAAAATAGTGACTAAACAGTGTAGTAGATAGCCCACCAGGTAACTGTACTAAGATTTAAATCAGCTGCTCCCTTGTCTTAGTCTCTAGAGTAGAAAATTTTAAAAATATGACCAATAAAATAAAATAGTAAATGTTGTTTTCCATGTGATAACACCCACCTATAATCCTGGCCCTTGGGAGACTAATGCAGCAGGATCCCAAGTTTGAGACCAGTCTGGGTTATGCAGCAAGACTGGTTTCTAAACAACCAAATAAATAGCATCCAAATTTAAATGTAAAAAAATATACATTTTATTATTTTATGTGTATGAGCATATTGCCTACATGTGTGTAAGTGCATTAGTGTTGTACAATGACTGTGGAAGTCAGAAGAGGGTGCTGGATCCCCTGGAACTGGAGTTATGAACAGTTGTTAGCTGCTGGGAATTGAACCTGGGTCCTTTGCAAAAGCAGCCAGTGTTCTTAGCTGCTGAGCCATTTCTCCAGCCCCCAATAAAAGGCTTTTTTAAAAAAAATTTTTAATTTGGATATAAAATAAACTGCAGAAACACAAAGTATATTCATGTAGAAACGATATTTTATATCTAAGTTATATTACTTAAGGCTCTTAGAAATAAAAATATTTATTATTAGCTATTTTACCTAGTGCAGTTCAAAGAGGAAGAAGCAGTAGAAATTTCTTCTTCTGGAGAAGGTGGAACAAAATCTACGTCATAATAATCATAGTCATGTTGAATGTATGGAATTTTCCCAGCTGAATGTAATTCAACTTCTGCAAGGTTCTTTTCAGTGTTATCTAAAGTAAAACAGTTTATGAACACGGTATATTAATGCTTAATGAGACAGAATAGGCATAAGCACTTGGGAGTGAGCTCTTCTTCGGAGGAAAGTCTTTAAATAAACAATCAGAGCACTCTGTAGAGGCATCTTCTCCTTCCACAGGTTAATGCTGGCTGGCTTCATAAATTAGTGAGTCAAATGGAAGAAATCCAAAGTTAGACTGAGGCCAAGATTTGCTTAGGGAATTTAATGCCTAGCTCTACTTAAACTGTAAAATCCATGTTTCATTTCTTCTGGGTTTTGCTCCTATTTTTGCTCATATCTTATTTAGAGTAATATGCAACAGATAACTCTAACAGTACAAACACTGTGGGTTAGCTTTGGTTTTGTTTGCTTGTTTTGAGACAGGGTCATGCAATGCAGCCCAGGCTCTTGAACTATTCATCTTTTGCCTCAGCCTCCCAATGCTAGGATTGCAGATGTGTGTCACCACACTTGGCACAAACACTGCTGCTTTTACAGAGGTGTCCTAGCTACCTAAGACTCTCTTCTGGTGCTCTCTAGCTTTACCTTGCACTGTCAAGTATTCAGAAATAGCAAGATGGTTGATCAGGCTACACCTGTGCTTATTATCAATCAACCCTTTCTCATGGTGTAACAACTTCGACAGAGCTGGGGTGTTTAGATTTTTAATCTCAGGTAGTGGCATGTACCTGTAGTCTCAGTTACTAAAGATGCTGAGGCAGAAGAGTGGCCTGTAATTCCAACTACCCAAGAGGCTGAGGAAGGAAGATTACAAGATTAAGGCCTTCCTGGATAACTTGATGAGACCCTGTCACCACATACACAGTAAGTAAAAGAAGGCTGGGGACATAACACAACAGTAGAGTGTTTGTGTAGTGTGGAAGGGCAATCCCCAGGTTCAATCCCTAATACCATAAGGAAAGAAAAAAAGGGATGTTTTGAGTCTAGGAGATCAGGGTCATCCTGGACAACAAAACAAGAAAATCTCTCAAAGGAAAACATTTAAAATCTCATATTCATAATTATTTCCCAAGGTGGGTTGGCTCAATGGATAAAGTGCTTGCCACTCATGTCTGCTAATGCGAGTTCAGTACCTAGTACCCATGTAGGATGAAAAGAATCACAAAGTTGTCCTCTGATTTCCACACGTCTCCCATCATACACACAAACACACACACACACACACACACACACACACACACACAAACAAACAAACAAACAAACTAGACCTATCCAGAATCAAACTAGACCTATCCAGAATTTTTTTTTCTCTCCATGCAGCCCCAGCTGGCCTGGAACTCTCTATGAAGATCAGGCTGGCCTCAGCGATCTGCCTGTCTCTGCCTCCTGAATGCTGAAATTAAAGGCATGGGCCACCACATCCTGCCAGAAAATACTTCGAGTGTGATTTACAATATAGTCTCATACCACATGATGTTCCAGTCAACAGCAGAGCACCTACAGGACAATGGTCTCATAAGTTAAGATGAAGCTGAAATACTCCTGTTATGTCATGGTGCAATGCATTCATTACTCATGTGCTTCTGGCAATACACTATTTATAGTATATAATATAATGGTACTTACTGGCTTAGGTAGTTATTGCTATCTTGGAGTGTATTCCTGGGCTGGAGAGATGGCTAAGTGGTTCAGAGAACTGGTTGCTCTTGCAGAGGATATGGGTTCAGTTCCCACATGGTGGCTCATAACCAACTCTAGTTCCAGAGGACTGTCACCTCTTCTGGCCTTCATGAACATGCATGCATGTGGTACATTTATATACACGTAGGCAAAACACTCACACGCATAAAATAAAAATAATTAAGATTTTAAAAAAGGAGTGTGGGCTGGAGAGATGGTTCAGTGGTTAAGAGCACTGGCTGCTCTTGCAGAAGACCCAGGTTCAGTTTCCAGCACCCACATAGTAACAAATGGTAATTCCAGTTCCAGGGGCTCCAATGTCTTCTCCTGACCTCCATGGGCATTGCACAACACTGGTGCATTTACATACATGCAGGCAATACAGTCATACACAAACAATAAAAGTAGTAAAATATTTTTTTTTAAAGGAATACATTCTACTTAATAGATGAAGGATCCATTCCTGTTTACTGTTTCCAGAGAATTTCTAGGGGGATAAATGTGATGGTAGAAGATTGTGATGTTCATGATCCTGACCCTGTGTGTAGGCCCAAGCTAGTGTGTATGTTCATGTCTTAGTTTTTAAAAAAGAAAGTTTAACAAAGAAAGAAGGAAAGGAAAGAATAGGAAAGGGAGCTAAGTGTGGTGAGCTAAGTGTGGTGGTTTACAACCCTAATCTCAGAACCCAGGAAAGGGAGGCATAATAATCAAAAATTCAATGCCATACCAGGTGTGGTGGTGCATGCCTTTAATCCCAGCACTCAGAGGCAGAGACATGCAGATTTCTGTGATGTCAATCTGGTCCATATAGTGAGTTCCAGGCCAGCTGTGGCTACAAGGAGATCCTGTCTCAAAACAAAACAAAACAAAAAAACCCAAAACAAAACAAAAATAAAGAGCACTTACAGGCTAGAGAGATGGCTTAGTGGTTAAGAGCTCTTGCTGCTCTTGCAGAGGACCCAGGTTCAGTTCCCAGCACCCACATGGCAACTTACAACTATCCCTGACTCTAGTTCCAGGGTATCTGATGCCCTAATCTGGCCTCTTCGGATATTACATGATATAGGTGCATATATTCATGCAGGCAAAACATTTATGCATAAAATAAAAAAGAAGTTAAAATGAAAAAAGTTACAATGAACCCTAATTACTACTAAGGAAGTATACATTTTTAATGGATTTGCTATAGCTATAGGCTAAGCACTGTGTTTATAAAGTTTACTGAGCCAGGCGTGGTGGCACATGCCTTTAATCCCACCACTCAGGAGGCACAGGCAGGCAGATCTCTGTGAGTTCAAAGCCAGCCTGGTCTACATAGTAAGTTCTAGGACAGCTGGGGCTACAGAGACCCTGTCTCAAAAAAAAAAGTCTACTGAAGTAGCCAGCAACAATCTATATTCCCCCACATTCCCTGTTCTCAGAGAAGCTTCCAGTTCTGCCAGCTCCATTCACAATATGTACTCTATTAAGCTGTACTGTTTTTTAATCTTTTATATATTTATTATTCCATTTGTATATGTTTATATATACAAATATATTCCATTGTATTATGAATGCCTACAGTATCCACTACATTCACAGTCATATGGCTTTGCGGCGTATGAGCAACAGGCTATACCATACAGCCTACGTGTGGAGTAGGTTAAGCCATCTAGGTTGACGTAAGTATGCTATAGTGGTTGCATGATAATGACGTTGCCTAATGGTGTATTTTTCTCAGAACATGTTCTCGTCATTAAGTTATACGTGATTGTATTAAACAGGATGATTAGCTGTATTTGGTGTATAATTTGTGGTAGCAAGCCATTAAGAAATTATAAATGCAGAAAGGCTTATCTTTACTTTCCAATGTGTAAAATCACAGAGCAAACTCTAATACTGAAAAATTTTAAATTATATTGGCAGAATAAAATCTTTTCCATTGCATAAACTGTGTCCTGCTTCAAGAATATGGCCAAAAGATTACTGAATAAATAGGAGATACTAAGACCCTGAAGGACAAAAACTATATTTGCCACTGTTCCCAAGCTTTAAATGAAAAAGTATTGTGAACATAATGAAATGAAGATGAAGTAATTTTTACCTCTTTCATCTCCCAAACAAGTTTTCAAAGGCTGACTTTCCAGAGTAGCTTTCTTTATGAACTCTTTGGAATCAGGGTCATCATCAATGCAAATCACATCACTGCTTAAGCATTCCAATTCCTCCTTCTTTTCCTTAGTTAAGTCCACTTGTTGGCTTTCAGGGGAGGAAAGGGTCAAATCAGCCTTTACTGTATTTGCTTTATGAGGCGGTGGTTTAAAAAAGTTCCTCTTAGTCTTTTTTGATTTCTGAGCAGTGCTTACTCTTACAAAGTCATTTCTGGACGGTGTAACAAATGCTTTTGAAGACAAAATGTCAAAGTCATCCATATCAGCCCATTCATTGAGGGAAGAATCTGGTGAAGAATTAAATTCTAATTTTTTGAAAGCAGCAGTGTATGGTTTGTTTACAGTTGGGGTGTTTGGGGTAGTACATAAAACCTCCTGAGGAATCTGCAATAGGTCCGGCAGCGACAGGTCTGAACAGGTATCCCTGGTTTGCTGTCCTGCAAGAGCATTTTTGAAGAAGTCACCAGTCATTGTCTGCTGATTTGGTGTTTGGTACAGAGGCTCAGTGAATGAAAAGGCCCCAGAAACATTCACGTCTTTATCACTTAACACTGGTGTTTTTACCACAGGCATACTAGTTATAGATATGTCACCTTCTGAAGTCTTCTTTTTAAAAGTAAAACCTCTGAAAAAGAATGGAAAAACTGAATTAGATGAAATCTATTTTTGGTGCTGGGGACTGAACTCAGGGCCTCATTTATGCTAAGCAAGTATTCTGCCACTGATCTACAATACCAGCCCCTTGATGGATCCATTTTAACAAACTCATTCACTCTACAAAATTCTTAAAAAAAAAAAAAAAAAAAAAAAAAAAAATTTAAATGTTACAGGCCGGGTGTGGTGACTCATGCTTTTAATTTCAGCACTGGGAAAGTAGAGGCAGGCAGATTCTGTGAGATTGAGGCCAACCTGGTCTATAGTGAGTTCCGGGCCAGATGCGGCTACAAGGAGACCCTACCTCAAACAACAGCAACTATAAAAACAACAACCCCCCCCAGCCAAAACAAATTGACAACTGCAAGTTACATTAATTGTATTACAAATGAACACAGAATCTATCTCCCTCTGTAGTTTTAAAATTTATCAGGTAACTTAAATACACTTGGCTGCTCTCATCCTTCCTCTTTAGAGGCTTATTACTGGGTTTTGAGAATACCCAGGTCATTCCCACACTCCACTATTCAGGCTGGTACTTCTCTTAATTAACAGCACCTTCAGAAGGAAGATATAGCATGTGTGAAAACTGAAAGATTCGAATGTGGCTACTTTTTGCTACTCTGATAAAATTTTAAGGGGAAAAAGAATTAAAAACTGCCCAGAACTGAAGAACATAAAGGAGGCAGGTGTCCTGGCTACTGATGGAATTAATGACATGAAGGACACTAATGACTTTAAAGCCAAGCACCAGGAACCAGAGCCCACAGCCCTGGGGCACAACCTAGATACAGCACAGCCTAAATACAAATCATTATTAGGTGCCATCAGGAGCTTGCAGGAGACAGCAGAACGAGAGAGCAGTCGCCTCCCTACACTCTTTTGCAGAGCCTAGGAGAGCATATTAAAGTAGAATATATACCTATCTGCCCTAATTTACAAGAAAATTCATTGTGCATTTATTCAACTTCACTGAATAAATATATACCAAGAACTGTGCAAAGCTTCAGAGCAATCACTACCTGAAGCCGCCAAAGTATGTTCTGCCACAAATCTGCAAAGTAGGAGAACCACTGAACCCCTCATTTCTTTTTTTTTCTATTATGTCTTTTTGAGACAGGGTTTCCCTGCAGGCTGGCCTCAATCTCACAGAGATTTACCTGCCTCTGCCTCCCAAGTGCTGTGATTAAAGACATGCACCACCACGCCCAGCTCTCATTTTTTCAAAAAGAATATTTTATTTATTATTTTTATTTTGTGTGTATAAGTGTATTGCCTGCATGTGTGTAAGTGCACCTGTGTCCTGCAATGCCCCCAGTGGTCAGAAGAAGGGACTGGGTCCCCTGGAACTGGAGTTAAGGACGGTTGTTAATTGCCATGTGGGTGCTGAGGATTGAGCCAGGGTCCTCTGCAAGAACAGTCCGTGTTCTTAACCCCTGAGCCATCTCTCTAGCTCCTGAACCCCTCATTTCTTCATCTGTAAAATGAAAGAGCTGAAAGAAGCAGCGTCTGGTGACCCACACCTACAATCCCAGTACTCAGGAGGCTAAGGCAGGGACACTGCTGCAAGTTTGAGATAGCCTGGGCTACATAGCGAGTTCCATGCCAGTGTGAGTTACATAGTGAGGCCTTGCCTCAAACGGTGAAAAACAAGAGCTGTCATTCGTATAATACTGTGAGTTAGTTCCTCATGACAACAAAGCATATATACTTACGAAGATTTTGGTTTTGAAAGGCTGAATTTATTATTAAATTTTCTGGCTGAGTGACGCTCCAGTTGCTCTTGTAGATTATTCAGAGGAACAGCAGCCATGATCCTAAAAGGTGAGAGGGCAGATAGCAGTAGTGAGGTACTTGGCATTATTCACAATATTTACTGATGAGGTGAAGGGCTGGATTCAAACAGCCTCTGTTCCACACATGCCCAGAGTAATAAGCAACCACTGCTTCTTTTTGTTTTTCAGCAACAGATTGCTTTGACATTTACATCTGGTGACATTTGAAATATCTAAGTTTTAACTAGCTGAAGGCTCACTTGCATAACAAAATGGTCTGTTTTCCCCCCTTCCTCCACACATGCTAAAATAAGCACAAAAGATATGAGAGATTATTAGGAAAGGGCTTGTAGAAAAATGGAACCTGTCTAGGCTTGAAGGATAAATGGAAACTGGACAGGAAGTGAGGGGGGAGGAATGATGAAAGCAAACTGAAAACCCAGAGAACAAGTGAATTCTCTGCCCAAAGGCAAAACTGGGGAAAGAAAGAAGAGCACCACTTGAGTGCAAAGGTTTATCAGCAAGACAGCATGTGTCACCAACATCTGGCTCCAACCTAAAAGAATAGTAGGGCCAAGTGCATTTATATCCCTATGTAACAAGTTGTCGCATTGCTGAGTTTTCACCCAGATAATGCACAGCTCAAGCCACCCTGAAATCAATGAGCTAAAGGAAGACAGCTGTAACCTACGAAGTCAAAAAATTTATTTCAGATGCTAGGTTTAACCCCCTTTCCCACTCTACCTAGATTTAAAATTTATTATTAATATATGAAAATGTGCATGTGCATGGACATGCATGTATACACAATGGAGGGGGCACAAGTGCTAGGGAGCACATGTGGCGGTCAGAGGACAACTTTATGGAACTGGTTCTTTTTTCTTCCCTTTTATGTGGGGTTCCAGGGATTGAACTCAGGTCACCCACTTGCATAGCAAGCGCCTTTACCCATTGAGCCACCTTTTGTTTTGGGGGTTTTTTCCTGATAAAAGGTCTGGCTATATAGTCCAGGCTAGCCCAAAACTCATGACCCTCCTGTCTCAGACTCTCAGTGCTGGGATTATAGGTATGCACTACTAGACTCAGCTTACAATTCTATCTTTATGAGATAGACTTTTATTTTATATCATGTATGTTAAGAAGGATCAACAATATTATACAGGCACACTGTACCATTCTGGAAGTCTATCTCTGAAAATGATAATATTTACAATGTCACACTTTATTCATTCAGTATCTGGAATAGTCCTTTTGTTGCTGCTGTTTTGTTTTGTTTTGAGACAGGGTCTCCCTGTAGTTCCACCTAGACTGGAACTCACTATGTAGACCTGGCCTCAATCTCACAGAAATCTGCCTGCCTCTGCCTCTCAAGTGCTGTGATTAAAGCCATGCACCAAAATATCTGGCATGGAATAGTATTATTAGTTTCAAAATAATGAATCAGGAGCAGGGCATGGTGGCGCATGCACCAGCTGTGTCTATAGGGATACCCTGTCAGAGAGAGAGAGAGAGAGAGAGAGAGAGAGAGAGAGAGAGAGAGCGCATGCTCAGTGGGTACAGTATTTGTCACATACGCTAGGACCTGAGCTCAAATCCCAAGAATTTGTGTAAACCCTTTGCACTAGTACACGTCTGTAATCTTGATGTTCTTTGCTGAAATGGAGGCAGAGACAGTAGAATCCCTTAAAGCTCGAGGGCCATCTAGCCTGGTACAAGCAGTGAAGAACAAGAGACCTGACTCAAAGGTGGAAGGTAAGGACTGACACCTGAGGTTCTTCTCTGACTGCCACACATGCACTGTGGCAAGCATGTACCCACACTCATACACAAACACACCATACACACATCATATACACGAAGATTAAAAATGTTTCATGTTTAGTTAATGGAATCCTTTTCAGGTGAATTAGACTTACAACAAGTGCAATTTAGAAAGTGATTAAAAAATTTTTATATGAAAGAAGTTATTATGTCATTGTAACAGAACATTAAGTAAGCAAAAAGTTGATTCAAGAGCATGTACACATAGATGCGGGGATGTACGCGGGGAGGGGTGCACACAACACATGGCTGAGTGTGAAGGCAGCTTATGCTACATAGTGAGACCCGGGCTCAGAAAGAAAACAAAGGTAATGAATAGAACAAACTTCAAAACCATGTCCAAACTAGGCATGGTGGCTCACACCAAAAATTTCCACACTTGGGAGGCTAGGGTTGAAGGATCACTGTGAGTTCAAGGCCAGCCTGGGCAAAATAGTGTATTCAGGTCAGCATGAATTATACAGGAAGAGCCTGTCTCAAAAAACAAACAATGGCAAAGAATAAATGACTCAAGGAATCCTACTTGAACAGTGTCTTGATTTAATAGAAAGATTTTGACCAGAAATTGAGGGGCC